TCCTGGATGGGCTTCTCAGGGGGAGGCCGACCAGGGATTACTAGTTAATGGTGTTTGCTCTGTGGCCCAGAATCAAATCTTTTATCATTTATATAACCGCCCTTTTAACCATGTTAATTATCCACAAGTGTGTTGACTTACAACCTCTGTTATTAAATCTATACTGAATAAATATGAGGAAGAACAGCTAGTGAGCGATTGGGTAGCTGCAATTGCCTTCTGAGAGCAGCAGATGACCTCCCTAGCCTACTCGTTCATTGTACTCTGTGTTTGAATGCTTTATTCTTCCACCATGGAGTCTGGGTTTGCAGGACAGATCCTCCACAGTTGGTGATCAATGTCTCCAGTGGTGACCTCAATGTGATCATCATCAAGCTGGCACCCGAAGTTGGGGAAAAATGAAGAGATCATCAGACCCCTGAAGGAGGAGCAACAGACACCTGAAAACAAAAGGTAAAGGATACCACGCCATCTGGTTAAGTAGTCAGTAAGTCATTGTTACCCACTGGGGATTACCAAGTTCGGGGAGGCATTGTTTCAGGCTAGGGATTCATCGTAGGACAGCAGTTATCAGCATTAACAAAGGCAGTATATAAAAGTATTGAAAAAGGTGCTTAAGGCTAGCTGAGCCTCAGTCTCACAAGCTCAATTAAGGGAGCTAATGCAAACCGTTGTTTCCCAAAGCCCATAGTTCCCAGCAAAGAGCATGCTATATGTAAAGCTCTGGGAACAAGTGGGGAGAAATCATGCACAAGGGCAATGGGTCCCAGTGACATTATCACCATGCCAAAATAACAAAGACGAAATGGAGTTTTTACCTGATCCCCTCCTCCAACAAATTAGAAAAAAGACAAGGGAGATGCTACAGCTATAGGACCTTGTCTTAAGCAAACATCATTAGAGAAGGAACTCTTAGCCTGCCCGGTAATTGATGATTGACAAGGCAATCAGGTGCATGCTTATAAAAAGATAAGAAAAAAGGCATTAGAGGCAGAAACAGCCAGGCCAAGGGGACAGTGGGTGGCAGAAGAGGCTCTGGCAAGAAAGCTCCTCCCAAGCTGGCAGCTACCACCCAGGCAGGGGGAGCAAGCGGTAGCAAAAGTTTGCAGACCTGGAGCTAGCAAATGCTCCTATCAACTAGGCCTGCATGGCAGAAATGGCAATGGCAATGGAGAGCCAGGCCCAGTGCACTGTAGTTAGCCTGCTAGGAAAGGACAGGAGGTGTGGGCGGGAACATCTGCCCAGCTGCCACCCAAGGGCAGGAGGAAGGATTGGGCAAGCAAAAAGCATCACACGCGGCCAAGTAGGCAAAAAAAAAAAAAAAAAAATAAAAATAGACAAAGAAAAGAAATGATAATCTGGGGAGGACCCAGATTGTAATTCTCTGCTGAGATTTAAGTAAAATTTAAATTCTTATAACAGCTACTGTTGTTATCTCTAACATAACTCTCTCCAAATCCAGTTTAAGTACTACAGTACTTAAAAGTGTAAGAAATTTGTATGTAAGTATAGTAGAAACATATGCTTAAATGACTGTCTTGCCTCACTGATTAAAGATAGTCTTTGCCCTGCTAGTAAGTCACTGTTTTCAGAACTGTTTGCCAGTTTAAAGTCCATAAATGTGGTCAGCCTGAAAGCTCAATTGCAAGATTTAAAGTATTCTGCCTGTGACTTTAAGCACACGGTTAAGGTTCAGTCAATTACTAAGTTATGACCCTGATATCATCAAGATTCCTGTAAGGAGAGAGCAATTCAAAGTGATATTACACTCTTCCATACCTAATGCTTTAACACTATTTACTGATAGATCAGATAAACAGGGAAAAGGTGCAGTCTGGTAGAGACCACATAATTCAATCACCCAATCTAAGTTTACTAGCAGTCAGAGAGCTGAGATTAAAGCTGTGATACTAGCCTTAAAAACTTTTCCTGCTAAGCCCATAAACATAGTAAGTGACTTGGATTACTCAGTTTATCTACTGCAAAATCTTAAAACAGATTTAATTAAGTCTAATCTCGAGCCCACAGCTCACTGCCTGGCCCATTATCTTATGGCAATGAACAAGCAGACTTACACGTGTTGACATCACTGCTTGACCAAGACAGACAGAATCAGAAAAACTAGAGAGACAAATAGAAAGCAAAAATGAGTAAGAGAGAAACTAGAGGAGACAGAGATCAGAGAGAGATACACAAAGTGAGACTAAGGAAAGAGATAGTGTAAAAAGAAAAGAGTCAGAGAGAGAAAGAGACAAGGAGGCAAAGAGAAAAAGAGGCACAGAAAGCAAGACAAAGGAGATTAGGAAGCAGAGAAAGAAATATTAAGGAAGTTATAGATATAAAAATGTACCTTTAGTAAGGAAGGTTATAAAACAAAAAGTTAAGACATGTCTAAGTTTGTCAGGGAAAGCCATGAAAAATGTTATAGAAGGTAATTTATGCAAGTAAGTTGTATAAATTTTGTTTTGAAGGTCTAAGCAAGTTTTAAAACATTGATTGTAAAAGAAATTCTGTGTGTAAACATATTGGTTAAAAATTTAAGTTTCATCTAGTTTTTCTATAAACTAGACATTAAGATAAAGCACAACAGATTTTTTTAAGTACTAACCTGCTCTTTTACAAAGATTATAAAAGATATCTTAGCACAGGCACCACTCCTAGAATTTCCAGTACACCAGCACCAGTCTGGAGACTACGTCATCATCAAAGGATGAAAAGAAGAAAAAACTCAAACCAGCCTAGGAAAACACCCTGCAGGACCCACAGCTCCAGAGGATGCAGCTTCCTCAGACAACACAAGCCCCAGACAGGTAGTAAGGTGTTACTTTCAGTAATCACATTGAATATATATAGGCTGAATACTGCAGTTAAAAGACATAAAGTTGACAGAATGGATAAAAACAACAAGACTCAACTATATGTTGCCTGCAAGAGACTCATTTCACCTGTACAGACATGCATATACTTAAAGTGAATGAGTGAAAAAAAGAGGCTCATAAAAATAAAAACCAAAACAAAGCAAGAGTAGCTATACTTATAACAGATAAAACAAATTTCAAGTTAAAAATATATAAAAAGAAAAACAGACTATATAATGATAAAAGGATTAATACAAGAGCAGATAACAATCATGAATACCTATGCACCCAACATCTACCAAAGCATCTAAATACATGAAGGACATATTAACCAATCTAAAGGGAGAGATACATTATAATACAAAAATATTAGGGAATTTCAACACCCTTCTTTCTGCGATGGACAGATTATTTACAGAAAATCAAGAAAAAAACATCAGATTTCAACTGCACTCTAGACCAAATGGACCTAACAGACATTTATAGAACATTCCATCCAACAGCTACAGAATACATGTTCTACACTGCACATGGTATTTTTTCCAGGAGAAATCATATGTTAGTCTACCAAAAAAGTCTTAACAAATTCAAGAAACTAAAATTATATCAAGTATCATTTTTCATGAAAATGAAATAAAACTAGAAATCAACAATAGGAGGTGCTCTGAAATGCTACAAATACATAGAAATTAAACAACATGTTTATAAACAACGAATAAGTCAATAAAGAAATTACAAGAAAAAATTTAAAAATTTCTAGAGACAAGTGAAAATGAAAACACAAAATACTAAAACTTATGAAATACAGCAAAAACAGTCATTAGAAGGAGGTCTATAGCAATAGATGTCTACATCAAAAAAGAAGAATGCTCTCAAATGAACCACTAAATGATGGGTCTCAAGGATAGAAAAGCAACAATAGACTACACTCACAATTAGGAGAAGAAAAGATACAATAAAGATCAGAGTACAATAGAGACTTAACAACAATACAAATCAATAAAATAGAAAGCTGATTTTATGAGAAGATAAACAAAATTGACAAACCATTAGCAAGATTAACCAAGAAAAAAGAGAGAAGAGTCAAATAAATAAAATCAGAGATAAAAAAGGAGGCATTATACCTGATACAACAGAAATACAAAAGATCATAAGAAACCACTATGAACAATTAATTATATGCCAACAATATGAAAAATCTAGGAGAAATGGGTAAGTTCCTAATCACAAAAACCTACCAAGGATGAGGCAGGTTGGGAGAGAACTGAGAGATAAAAGACTACATATTGGGTACAGTATATACTGCTTGGGTGACAGGTACATGAAAATCTCAGAAATCACCACTAAAGAAATCATGCATGTAACCAAAAGTGCCTGTAACGCAAAAACTGTTGAAATATACGCAATTTATTAAACCTGCCAAGATATTAAAAAATGTTAAAAATATGAATCAACAAATAATGAGTAATGAGTTTTGATGCAGTAATAAAGTCTTCCATTAAAAGAAATTCCAGGACATAATGGCTTCTTGCTGAATTCTATAAAATATTTTTAAAGAACTAATACAGTTTTCCACAACCTATTCCCAAATATTGAAAGGGAAATAACTCTTTCAAATATATTATATGAAATCATAATTAAACTGATTCTACAACCATGTAAAGACATAGCAGCAACACAAGTACTTCAGGCCAATATCCCTGATGAACTTAAATGAAGAAATTGTCAACAAAATGCTAGTTTTAAAAAAGGTTTCAGGCTTTTCCTTTTATTCAGGCTATTACTCAATCTTATCTTTTTACCTCCACTTATATTCTAGTCATTGGTTTCATTAAGAGTTACAATTACCTGAGTAAGTACTTTTTCTTCTGTTATGTACTAACCATGCCTCTCACTTTAAATTTTTATGAATCATATATTCTAAACTACAAATGCATAGCTATGTCCTAACAATGACTACTCCTATTTTTATAGTTTGTTTCATTATAAATTCATAGGGTTATTCATTGTTCCATCATAAGTGAAGAATGTGGGAGTTCTCAGTGAAAAGACCCAGATGCACAAAAATAACGTTACTGAATCAGTACATTAGTTGGAAACAGCAGCAAAATTGTTTATTTACTTTCCTGTTAATTACACGCTTTACTGTTCTTCAGCAGAAGATACAAAATGTTCACTGTTATCTAAGAATTCTGTTTGCTTCATCCATTAGTTTTCTTTCATTTTCTAATGCTTTGGTATCCTTTCCATGGAATTTTTTCTTTACAACAAAAATAAATACAACAAGTAGAACAAGTGTTGGAAACACCAGGGCTGCTGTCAAGTTGAAGTGGACGCTTCTGTGAAAAGAGGATAAGGAAAATATATTATAATTTTAAATTGTGTAAAATATCTTACATTTTTTTCTCCCCAGTATGCAGATCTTAAAGTAATAATAATAAAAAAGAAGTCATACATAGAAATATTCACATGCAATTCTATTTATCCTTTTCATTGGAGCATAAGAAGTTTTCCTATTTTTTAAAAAATATGAAGCTACAGAAACTAGGCTCCAGCAGTCTCTAGCCTTCCTCTGGGTGGGAAAAAAATACTGTATACAACCCCAGACCCCTCAAGTCATCTCACTCTACCTAAAGGCAGGAGAGAGAAACTGAGAAACAAGTTTGAAGTTCACAATCCAGAAGTACAGGCTCACTAAAAGATTGAGACCTTATCATAGAAGTATAGAATGCTACTTTTCTCCAGCACCTTACACCACATTAATAAACACTTATATACAGCAGTTCCTTTTACTCAATACATTTTATCTGGCTGTCAAGAAAAAATTGCAAGACTCATACTAACAGGCCATAAACACCGTCTGAAAAGAATAAGACTTAAAACCAGAACCAGGTATATAAGGGATGTTAGAATTATCAAAATGAAAATTTAAAACAACTATTATTAATTTGCTAATGGATCTAAGGAATAATGTAGGCAGCATGGAAGAACAGATGAGCAATGTAAGCGGGGAGATAAAAATTCTAAGAACTAAAAAAAAAAAAAACACTAAAGAATAAATAATGCTGTAATAGATAAGACAGATAACTTACTTTTTAAATTATTAGATAGAACACAGCTGAGGAAACAATCTCTAAATTTAAGTATATCCCAATACAAAGCTTCAAAATTAAAAAGCAAAGTAAAATAAGACCAGAATGGGGAAAGAAACAGAATAGCCAAGAACTTTGTGATGACTACGTGTGTACAATGGGAATACTTTAAGGAAAGAAAGAAAAGAACAAAAGAAATATTTGAAATAATAAGCACTGAAAATTTTTCTTGAATAAATGTCAGACACTAAACGACAGACCCAGCAAGCTCAGAAAACACCAAGAAGGATAAATGCCAGAAAAACTATGCATAGGTTTATTATTTTCAGACTGTAGAAAAGCAAAGATGAAGAAAATGTCCTGTAAGAAGCCAGAATAAAACAAAACAAAACAAAACAAAACCTTATGTATAAGAGGGGCAAAAGATTACATCAGACTTCTCTTCAGAAACCATGCACTCAAGAAGAGAGTGGAGTGAAATATTTAAAGTGTTAAGAGAAAAACATCTCCAACTTAAAATTCTGTACTCTGTGCAATTATCTTTCAAAAGTGAAGTAGAAATAAAGACATTGTCACACAAACAGAAACTGAGGGACTGTTTTGCCAGTATACCTGTCTTTCAAGAAATGTTAAAAGAAGTTTGTTAGAGAGAAGAAAAAGGACATAGGTCAGAAACTTGGATATACATAAAGAAGAAGGAATATCAGAGAAGAAATCAGTTAAGGTCAAATAAAAACATTTTTATCTAAATTGATTTGATAGAAAACAATTTGTTCAAAATAACAATGGCAACAATGTGTTTAATAGTATTTAATTTACATGCTTATTTATATGTTTATGTATGCTTACAGATAACTGGAGTGAATGACATCAATGACACAATGGATAGGAAGGAAGAATTAGGGTTATTTTGGTATTATTAGGTACTCTTATTATCTGTGAAGTTATAAAGTGTTATTTAAATGTAAATTGGATTTGTTCTAAATGTATATTGCAAACTCTAAGAAAACACTGAATGTCTTAATTAAAATTACACAACTAATAAACTAAGAAATAAGAGAAAATAAAATTATATAAAACACTCAATTAAAATACAACAAGACAAAAAGTGGAAGACAAAAGTAGGATCAAAGAACAAGGGCAGCAAATAGAAAATAGTGAAAAAATATGGTTAATAGTCATTCAATTACATTAGTAATCACTTTTAATGTCAATGATCAAAATGCATCAATTAAAAGAACAATACTAGCAGGGCATAGTGGTTGATGTCTGTAATCCAAGAACTTTGGGAGGTCAAGGAAGGAAGACTGTATGAGGCCAGGAATTTGAGACCAGACTGGGCAACAAACTCAGACCCCATCCCTACAATAATTCAAGTATTAGGCATGGTGGTGCACGCCTGAGGTCCCAGCTACATGGGAGGCTGAGGCAAGAGGATTCTTTGTGCCCAGCAGGTTGAGGCTGCAATAAGCCAGTGCTCTCCAGCCAGGGTGGCAGAGTGAGACGCTGTCTCAAAAAATTAATAATAAGATTGTTGGCAGATTACAATAAAGAACCAAACTATATAGTTCTTAAAAAATTCACTTTAATTATGAGGACATATAGATTAAAAATAATTAGATTGAGGAATTAATGCTAATGTTAATCAAAAGAAACTGGAGGTTACTATATTAATTTAAAACAGAGCAGATTTCAAAGCAAGAAAATTGATCAAGGATTTAAAAAAAGGCCTTACATAATAACAAGGGATCCATTCTCTTATTGTCCCTTAAAAAACATAACAATTCTTAATACGGAAGATTGTAAGAATAGAGTGTCAAAATATGTTAGGAAAAAATAATAAAACTACAAAGAGAAATGAAGTAAGTCCTCACTTAACATCGTCAACAGGTTTTTGGAAATGAGTAAATTTAAGTGAAATTTGATATTGTATAATGAAACCAATTTTACTACTGATAATTAGTATAAACAAGAGTAAAGTTTCTATGGCATACGGTATATTGTTTTGCTTAATGTCAGTTTCTAGGAACCTATCAACAATGTTAGGCAGAGATTTAGTGTAGATGAATCCACAATTATGTTTGGAGACTTCAAAATGCTTCTATCAGAAATGGACAGATCTAGCAGGCAAAAATCAGTAAGGACATAGTTTAACTCAATGACACTATCAATCAACAGCATGTAATGAACATCTGTAGACTCCTCCATCAAACTGCAACAGACTATACAATCTTCCCAATCTCATATATATTATTCATCAAGATAGACCACATTCTGGGCTATAAAACATATCTTACAAAATTTAAAAGAATAGAAATCATACAATGTCTTTTCTCAGAACACAATGGAATTAAACTAGAAATAAATAACAGAAAGATAACTGGAAAATCTCAATATATGTGAAGATTCAGCAATATACTTTTAAGAAACATAGGAGGCAAGGTGAAATCTTATGAAAAATTTAAAAATAATTTGAACAACGTGAAAATAAAATTATAATATTAAAAGCTATGGGATGCCACAAAAGCAGGCTTAGAGAAAAATTTATAGCATTAATGCATATATTTAAAATGAAGAAATATCTGAAATCTATGACCTAATCTTTTACCTTAACAACATAGCAAAAGAAGAGTAAGTTAAATTCAAAGTAAGAAGAAGAAAAGAAATAATAAAAAGTAGAGCACATATCAGTGAAATTTAAAACAGGACATGAACAGAGAAAATCAACAAAAACTAAAGCTATTCCTCTGGGAAAAAAGTTGTAAAATTGATGAGCCCCTTACCAAGCTGAGATAAAAAGGTAAACACATCTTACTAATATGAGAATTAAAAGATGGAACATCACTGTAGATCCCATTGACCTCAAAAGGATAAAAAAAGGAATAGCATGAACAGCACTATGCCCCCAATTTTAATAACCTGAATGAAATGGACCAATTCCTTGACATATACAATCTTTGTAAATTCACACAAGAAGAAATAGATCATCCAAATAGGCCTATGTATGTTAAAGAAATGAATTAATAATTAATAAACCTTCTAAAATGGAAGTCACCAAACCAAGATGGGCTCATGGGTGAGTCCTATCAAAAACTCATGTAAGAATTTATACCAATTCAATGTAATCTTCTTCAGAGGATAGAGGCAGCAGGAATACTTCCTGTCTCACTCCATGAGGTCAGCATTATTCTAACACCCAAAGCAGACAAACTTATTACAAAAAAAAAAAAAAAAAAAGAAAGCTACAGAGCAATACATCTACAAATATAGGAAAATTCTCAAAAATAGCTAATTGAATCCAACATTGTATAAAAAATTATATGCAACAACAAAGTGAAATGTACCACAGGTTTACAAGACTGTTTCAACATTCAAAACCAAATTATATAATTCCTTATATTAGCAGACTAAAGAAGAAAAAAATCACATGATCACATCAGAAAATGCAGAAATACATTTGACAAAAGCAAACACACTTTCATGACTAAACTCTCATTAAATTAGGAATAGAGAACTTTATCAACCTGATTAAAAAAAAAATCTCCTGAAATGCTACACTTATCATACTTAACAGTAAAGATCTCAAAGTTTTTCTGCCAAGGTCAGGAACAAGGCAAAGATGTTGCCTCCCACCACTGATTTTCAACATGGTACCAAAAATGCTAGCTGATGCAATAAAAAAAAAATAAAATGAAAAGGGAATGAAATGTATACAGGTTGAGAGGAATATAGAGGTCGAAATGTATTCTGCTACCAAAATCCTAGCTAATGTGATTTTTAAAAAAATGAAAAGGGAATCAAACGAATACAGGTTGAAAGGAAGAAATAAAACTATCTTTGTTTACATATATGTAGAAACTCGCAAATAATAGAAAACTCCTGAAACTAATAAACGATTATAGTAAGGATGCAGGATACAAGATAAAATGAAAAGTTTTCCTATATGTCATCAATGAATAAGAGGAATTTGAAATTAAAAACACATTATCATTTACATTGGCACTCCTGAATATGAAACATTAGATAAAAGTTTAATAATATATATATAAAAGCTGCATGCAGAACACTATAAAACTCTGATTAAATAAATCAAAGAACTAAAGAGTGAAGTGATATTACATGTTCATGTACAGTATAGAAAAACTCAATATTGTCAAGATGTCAGTTCATCCCAACTTGATACACAGATTCAATGCAATCCCTATCAAAATCTTTATTAGTTATTTTGTGAGTACTGATGAACTAAC